AGTACTTTATAGGGATGGCTTGGCAGTCGGTGCTACAGAAAAATGCAATGAATTCGGACAAAAACGATTTGGCCGTAAAGGGAAGGGGGGAGGAGAGTGATGGCGAAGAACAATCGCGACGACTGGATAGTGATGCGGGTGGGAGAGTTCTGAGAGTGAAAGTACAGTAGACAGCGATGTCAGTTGGACCGCCGGTTTTAAATTGCAGCATTCAAAACTCCTACTGCGCCCCACGTTTGAACTCGCAAGGACAGGTGAGCCGGCGTGCACCCCACTCTGGTCAGTCAAATTCACTAAGACGAACTCTGATTGGATTGGTGATTTTTTTCTTGACGTACGGTTTACGTTACTTTTGTTGCTCTTGATTCGGGTGACTCGAGGGCGTCCGAATCGGTACTTGATTTATTCGAATTGCAAGCAGGCAAACAAGCAAACAAAAAATGGATTGGGCTACCCGGACCAAACAGTCCCCACTACTGAGAAGAAGACGACCTGATCGGTGGGACAATACGTTTATTCGCCTGACATTTCGAGATCCGTCGCGGATTCGTCATCAGAGACATAATCAGAGAGCAATAGCAGATAAAGTCACGAGTCAGGTCACAGGTCAAGACTCATTACTCCCATCGTCGGCAATCGGCAGCTAGATCCAAAGAACACTTACCTAGGTGGCCATTAAAACAGGAAAATAGAATTCACGTTCATCTATTACTGAACACTTGCCGGATACGCGTCACTCTGTTGACCCCAAAACATCCTTCAGAGTACTTGTTCGGGCTCGAACAACTCGTAGCTTGCGCTACTTGAAGGCAGCCCATATACGGCGGTTTAAACCCGACCTATGTAAACAGACGGAGCACGTGGTAAACCTAACCTCGCCGTGATAACATCCAGCTCCCTGTTTTACACATTGCCTTGCCCAACTTTTGCCTTAAACGTTCTCCCCACTTTTGCTTCCCACATTCCTTTAACTTGCTTACGTTATTGAGTAGCCTTCGTGGCCATTTTCTGACTTTGCATGGACTTTTCTGTATGAATTCAAGTTTTACATTCTCGCATGGGTTATTCGGGTTACGCAGCAAGAGGCCGCAGCTGAAGAGCACTTGCGAAATTTAGTCGTTCCATTAAATTCTGCCGTCTAAATTTGCACCATGGAAAAGATGGCTTAAACTTTTGAAGGTATTGGTCCTGCATCC